GAATATGGAAACATTAGGATTTGTGCCGAATGAGAGGTACGTGAGCCCAATTAACGCCTGGTACTTTCAGTTTCGCTTTGTTTTGGTTTATATATTTTTTATTTCATTCTTGTTCTGTTCTGAATACATTTATATGATTTGTTTTGGAGTGAGCTATACTAACGTATAGCTATGTTTATAGTGTTTATAATGTTTATACATTATAATAGTTCACTTTATTTGGTATTATTTCTGGTATTATTACACTCTCTCCAAACGTTCTGCTGCTCACAAAATATCAATGAGAGCGAGTTTGAAGAAAGCTGACTGGTTACGGTCAAAAATATGTTGAGGACCAATGCATAACCTCCAAATATGCGCTCGCTCTCATATGCACGTACGCACTGTCATGATCTAATGGCGGATCCTTAAAAACAATTACCGGAACGAAAAATCCAAAATCTGACATTTTCCGGAACAGGATCCGGCTCAAATTAAGCACTGACCCAGCTGCACAGAAATTACCAGACAGATTTTTGATAATTACTACCATTCCCAAGAAATAACTCTCCAAAGTTGACCGTGCCTGTGTTGACTTATGTTAGTTAGCTTAGCATGCTAATTGTTTAACATACTAACCAGTTGCCATTCTTTCTAATGTGACTCTTCAGCTATCATGTTAACCATAAGCTACATTAGTAATAAGTTAGCTTAGCATGTGAAAATGTTAAGCAATGCTTTTGTGTGCTCCTCACACTGAAAGCTCTTCCCAGCAGCCTGATGATTGTGCATCAACTAAGTAGTGCACTCTGCTAAGCCTTTCAGGTTGTGGGTTCTAATCCCTGTGGAACATTTCTGGACCCCAAGAAATTGAAATTATGAAGAAATTATGCAGAAGTTGCTTCATTTCTAAAAATGATCTGATATATACAGGGATGCACATAAGTGGTGCGCAATAATAGTGCAATAATAGTTACTCAATTATTACTAATTATTTTATTTTGTATAGTTATATTTAATGGGTCACACTGTGCAGTGTGAACACCGAACCAAATCTCCAGGTGCTCTTGTGAGAACCACACAGAAAAACGTATGTGCACCCATGGATATACGTATAGATAGAGGGCAAAATATTGGATAGATGCAGGCAGGAAGGTATGTTGCGTAGCTGGCTTGGCACATATAACTGCTTACCGCTCTTGTTCAGCCATAGGAATAATTATTTTCCTTTTTTGCGGTCACATCAAATTGACTCAGTAAGAGTAACTTACTTCTGATTCAGAGTCATCGTGTGACAATGCCCGTCTATAGCGCACTTTGCTGCTGCCACGAGGGTCATCTTCTGCTTCCCTCTCCTCCAATTTGGCTTTTGTTCTGCCCTTCTTCATTAGGAAGTTATCTACCACCCAGAACATCAGAGCCTGGATACGCACACAAACAGGGGCAAACATTCAGACACAAACAGATGTGTTGCAACAATGACAGAACCACCTGTCATATAGACTTATACAGAAGATTTAGAGCATGTAAGCCACATTTTCTCTACATAAGAAACAAGCAGTGAGGAAAATACAAATATATTTATGTATAAATACATAGCAAAAAATATATACAAATCACAACATAAAATAATGCAAAAAAATAATAAAAACAGTAATCATTATTTGTAATCAATTACACTAACATTTAAAAGTTTGAGGTCAGTAAGATTTTTTTGAAAGTAATACTTTTTTTCAGCAAGAATGCATTAAATTTATCAAAAGTGATGGTAAATAATGTTACATAATTTATAATGTTACAAAAGATTTATATTTTAAATAAATGCTGTTTTTGTTTTTTCATGGTTTACACACACAGACAAAAAAAAAATGTAATCAGCAGAATTTTCAACATCAATAATAATTTTTCCTAAACAAATCTGCATATTAAAATGATTTCTTAAGGATCATGTTACACTGAAGACTAGAGTAATGGCTACTCAAAATGTATAATCATAGGAATAAATTACATTGCATATTTTATTAAAATAGAAAACAGTTATTTTAAAACTTATGTTTCACAATATTACAGTTTTTACTGTATATTTGATCAAATAAATGCATCCTTGATGAGCATAAGACACTAAAAAAGCATAAAAAAATCATACTAAACCCAAACTTCTGAATGGTAACGATACATAAAGGTGTCTCACTTACGTTCACGAAAAATGGGACGATTAGCATGACGATAGCTAGCTCCAGATGAGGGTTTGTTATGGGGTTGAGTGTAGCCAGCTGTCCAACACACACAAACAACAGTCAAATACATCATAAACCAAATAATTAAAAACCATAATTTTATGACAATTTTCATTTTTGGGTGGAATATTTCCTTAACTGCAAGTTAGTAAAGCAGTATTATAATGATACATGATGATAATACATTTTCTCCAAACATATCAGTTAGTTCAGAACATGAACCACAAACATCCATTAGTATTTGGACACCTGACTGACCTTCTTCCACTGTGGGAGAAGGAGGACCAACATGATCATGACCTTCTCAAACATCATGATGAGGATGTAGAGAGCACACTGACCCACCCAGGCACTGCACTGAACCGGCTCGCCTATGTGCAAACATTAGAAATACAACACTACAAAACAGTGTTTTTTTTTTTCAAAACAGACCCAGCAAACCTCCAAGAGGGCCCCAAGATGACTTTAAAATAAGACAAAATAAGCATTAAAAGTTTTATTTCAATTCAACCCCCCAATTTTTCCCATGGCCTTGAAAAATGTGGATATATGAGGAAGCCTAGACCTGGAAAATCATGTAAATGAGTCGGGAGTTGGGGGCTGGAGTGAAAAAGGTTAAGAATCACTGCTTGAAAACATAATTTCCTGTTCATCATAAATGTATCTTTCACTGCCAATGAGTATGTATGTGCAGTTCAGTGGTTAACCGAAACAAGAAACTGGTGTTAAAATTGGTGGGTTGAACTAGTTAAGTTGATCTCATCTAAATTAATTCAACATAATTGCATTACAGTGCCTTGAAAGATGGTCTGACTACTTTCTTTTGGAGGGAACCTTTATATAAAAACACTGTTAAATCATTGATTAGACTTATTGTTTGGTTTCAGACAGGCATTATAGTCCGTGAAGAACAAGATTTCTATACTAATTTCAAATGAATGTAATTCAGTGAACAAATCGAACAATGGTAAGGAATGAAAGGGCTGATTCAATTTCCCATTAATGAGTCTGAGGACTGCCCTCTTTATATGAGGCCACATTCACATAAAGACGCTCAGCGGAAGTGTCTAGTCCATGATTAACTCACGGTTCCCACTAGACTTTCAATGTACTTTTAACAATTGATGTTAAGGCTCATACCATACTCTCCAAAACGCAGCGAATCCCACTGTCTCCATTCAACCACAGCACTAACGGCCTTCACGCCGCCATAGATCACCAGCATGCCCAGTGTCGCATCCAAAAGGAAGTTGATCAGGTATCTGCGGAAAACAACACAGGGAGTTGGTCGCTGAGCACAGCTGATAACAAATATGTAAAAACCAGACACAAACACTACGGGAAGTACAACGATGTTTGGGGGAAACATTGAAACGACAACGTGCACACAGACTCACAGTGAACATGGGTCCTCCTCTGTGAGGTCAGACAGGTAGACATTGGCAAAGTGAATGAACAGCATCCCTATGGCCTGTTTGGAGGTGTCCAGAAACCTGAGAGAAGTGAAGGGGAGGAGGGGGCGGTGAGAGGGAGGAGACCTGGTTAGAACTCACCGTTAAATCACGAGGGGAATGGGGCTACAGAGGGCCGCTCAGGTCAGTGGAGTATTGACCGTGCATGTGTTTAAATATCTAGGGCAGGGCTATTCAATTGGCGGCCCGTGGGCCCAATACGGCCCGCCAATCATCTTCATCCGGCCCGAGGGAAGAGTAGGCTACGCGCAGGTAGCATGTACACCTTGAATTGTTTTTGCACTAATTAGTTTGTCCACAAGGTGGCAACACTGGTCCGGGCCGTTGTTTCACACAGCCAAAAAAGAAAAGGAAGAGACTCAACAACAACAGCCTACTGGAGACCGCAACATCAATAGACGGCAGCGTTGACAAGCGCTTGTGTGAGGGGGTTATGACATATCCACAACTCTAGTTTAAACGAGTATAAAGGCAGTGTTATCGGTCATAATTTCTGGCGAGAAATAGCACAGACACTGGAAGAAGATGATTATCAAATGGAGTTTAGTTTGAAAGGCTGCGCGTTCGGCTGTACGCATGCGCTGAGCCGCTTCAGACAGCGCACCAGTAGCACTTCGACAAAAACACACAATTATGTCAAAACTAAATGTTAAAAATAATGTCTTTCAGTTATACTGTAATGTTCAATGGTTATAATGAATGGCTAAAATGAAAATACATTTAATAAAGACATCAGTAGCAGTATTGGTATCAAAAATACTAGCCTTTGTTAATAATATAGGCAACTTAGTAAAGAGATACCATTAAAGGGGTCATATGATGCGATCTTTATGTTGTTTCTACATTAATTTGGAGGTTCAATGTGAAATTATGACAATATATTAATATGCAATTAATCACGATTAATTACAGAAAAATGTGCGATTAATTCGTTAATTTTTTTAATCGACTGACAGGCAGCACTAATGTTAGCCTTTTATAGATGTTGGTGTGGGTAATGTTACTTCATTTTACTGCTGAATATGCATTTCAATTTAATTTCTAATTTTATAGGCCCCACAGAGAGTGATCGGGATGCCCCCCACCCCCTTTCAAATTTTCAATTCAATAATCCGGCCCTCAAATGAAACTAATTGAATAGTCCTGATCTAGGGCTTGCTAATGACACAAAATGGCGGTTTACCAGATTCTCCAGGGTCTCCGTTCATGCTTGGGCTCCCTGAAGCGTTTCACTGTGGAGAAGAAACACAAGCTTTCATATCGGAAGCAGGAAAAATGGGGGTGATCAATAATGTCTGCCACATGGGGGTAGTGCTACTGATGCTAAAAACCTCTTTCCTGGCTCTATCAGATACAGTGCTACAAAAACACAGAGGCCAATAAATGATACATGAGATTAACATTTCAAAAGGGGAAGAGCCGAATGAGGAACTGCTCCATCACAGGTTTAAAGAGTTTTCTGCATTCACATGCAAAACCAAAACACAATGCGCAATTGAAGCAGTCATTACAAAATTTTATTTTTCCCTAAGAAAAAAATAA